TGAAATTGAGTGGAGTTTTTCACATACCTAATGGAGACTTGACTGCAGTCAATACTACATTGAATCAATTTGCGGCCAACAACAGTGATTTGGATTTTCGAAATACAAATATTTTTGTCGTCCCGTCATTTTACTACTACTTTGCAATTGTTTTAGAACCGAGTAATCCGACTGGTTATAATGTTTTACTTAGCTCACGACTTATTCCCGAAAGTATTGTTCACAATGAACCGGATAAAGTTGCTGAAGTATTTATTCAAGCAAAAGGTCAAACTGCAATGGGATCGAATCTTCTTGGGCATTTAGTAGCTGGTGGACAAGTATCTAATATATCAAATTCTAATAATAGCGTTAATCCAGGATGGCGTACTGCTCTTCTTCATATGGTCTATTCTCAGGGTTGGTTAGATACAACATCTGAGGCTGATGAAAACTACCTAGCTCAACAAGTCTCAAATCGAGCAGAAATTTTGAACCGATTATCGATTAGTTCGCAGGGAAGTTGCTACCTAAATGAAGCTGATCCGAATGAAATGGATTGGCAAGTTAAGTTTTTCGGTACAAGAGCCATTTACGATCGACTCAAATCAATCAAACAAAACATTGATCCAGATGGATTATTTGTTTGTCCAAATTGTGTCGGTAGTGATGATTGGACATCAGATCTCAATTGCCCGAAGACATCAAGCTCCTGGATACTTCATTTAACAATATTTCTCTTAGTAATAGAAATTGTTGCAATATTATCATAAAATATCAATAACAACAAACTCAGAACTATCGAATATAAATTAAATTTTATAATTGTGCGGAACAAGATGAACTATTCGTTGAAAATACTTTCCTTGCGTTTTGAATATCTCACGAATAAAGCTTTGTAGTTTTCGCACATTGAATGAATTCTTGAATATGTAAATGATGAGTGATTGATTATAGAAATATCGGATTCAAGTTTTGACAAAAGCACTGTTGTATTTTTCATACATTATTTAGTGAGTGTGAGTTGAGAGGAGATTCGTATAGGTGGCTATACGTGTAGATGATTTAATTACAAACATAGAGATCCACCTCCCGCTGGCAGGATAGAGATAGCCATGGTTAGATTGATTGAAAATCACTATGAAATGATTCATAAAAATTTCTGAAAAGTTATTTTTGTATTTACATTATCAAAGTCTGCAAATTATTAAAGTTTGTAACAATTGCAAGGATATTAATGCGAACTATGATACATTCTTGAAAGAATTATCCTGTCCTAAGTATTTTAAGTCATAACTAAGTGGCTTAGCTTGAAGGCAAAGACTCTTAACTTTCTACAAATCTCCCATATTCGAACTGAAGAAGAAGATGCGGGTTTTCACTTCACCCACAGCCAAAACCACTGCTCGTTTAAAATAGTCTTATAAAAATTACCTAGAGATACCAAAATTAGTAACACTGATATATTCAAATCTTATACAAGGCTCAACGAATTTTTCTACCTACACATACATACTGAAAGACCAAATCGAACTCTAAAATTCTATCCCTATCTGATAACTAGCCGTCTTTATGCGTGTGAAGACAACCGTCTTGTTTTGGTTTTTCCGTATGTGTAATTAAAGTGTCGTGTATTCTCAATAAGAAGAGTTTTCAAAAAATTAACAGCAAAGTTTAGCGCATCGAAACTTTGCTTTTATAATATCATCTGAAGAATGATGAAATAGTCTAGAATTATTAATCTCAATTTGAGAAATTAGTATATGTAGAATGAAAATTTCTTCGAACATTCTATAAGATTTTATGATATCAGCGCTACTACTTTTGGTATATCCTAAATATTATCGTTACTGCCAAGGGCTTTCGTCAATTTTGAAAATTTGACAATATTGTCTGAATTCAGATATCAAAATTTCATAATGAATACATTTGTACGCACTATTTGTATTTCAAGATTGACACAAAATCATGAACAAATCATGTTTTCATGTTACTTTTTCATTTAAGAAAAGGATATGCGATCATGTTTGGCAATTAAAACGATTCTTTGAACGATTTAAAAACAAGATTGAACCTGACGAGTTGGTTTTAGATTAAAATGAAGCTTAAAACAATGAGAAGAATGAATAGATGACACAAATAAAAAGTAAACATAAAAATCCTTCATGAATTCTCGCATCTATTTGTTTATGTCACACAAAAAAAAAAATTCTGTCTAGTGACTTGTAATTTTAAATCTAACACAATCAATAATATTGATGAATAAATGAACTATTTATATTTTCGCGCTGTAATATTCTTTCTTCTAATCATATATATGACTCATGGTCAATCAATTGAAATTCTTGAATCCGGACAAATCTATTCATCATCAAAATCTATTGGTACTATTCTTTATATTAATCTTTTCAATCATCTTCCTATATCAATTCGAATATCAGGTGTAGTCGAACGTTGTTGTCTATCTATTGATTATTGTATACCAGTACGTCTTCTTGGTGGTGATTTTGGTGAATGGAAATCACATAAAAATCGATCAATGATCTTTTTTTGGCCTGCTTTGGAATGGAAATATATAAATGATAATTATTTTTGTCAAGTATCTTTATTATTTGGATTTCGAAATCATATGACACATTTTAAATTAATAAATATTAATATAAATTATCTACCAATAAAAAGACAACTCAATGAAGATGTATTTCAAATAAATAATTCATCATATAATATATATCCAAAATGTAATCATTATCTTAATATTCGAACAAATCAATGTGAAAATCTTGATAATCTTCAAAAGAAGTTTTCATTTAATTTTTCATCATCTTTTATTCCATTTAATCATCGAGATTTATCAACGAAATGTATACATGGTATTCAATCACATGAATGTTATTGTCATAAAAATTATATTTCTGTACCTATTAATCAAAAATTGTATCATCCAAAAACTTATATTCATCAACTTTGTACACATCTATCAAATTATAAAAATTTAAATTTAAATTTATTAATAATAATTAATTTCAGTCTATTTATTTTATATATTATTATTTTAATTATTTCATCTATTTTTATTTGTACATATTATAGACAAATAGAACATGAATATAAACAAAATTCAATTGTAGAATCAAAACTAATGACAAATCAACGATTTTCTCTTATTGAAATTGCTTCTGAATTACAGATTAATAATAGTAATAGTTGTACATCGATGTTAATTCCAGATTGAATGAAAAATATATTATCTAAACATTGATAATAACTTCTATATTTACGAAATATATGTTATTCATAAGGCATCAACAATATGAAATTTGAGGAAATTCTGCTTTTTTTGTCATGGTTAAAGCTCGTCGAGTTCCTTCTGAACATGTTTTTTAAAATGCTCGGACAAAGCAAAAAACTTAGATTAAAAAAATCGTTTTCTTCTGATATGATGAAAAAACTATATAAATATGGGCTTGTGCGCTTAGAGATTTCAACCGCCTGAAATTTTGTATTTGTCTTTTCATCCCGTCATTGTTTTTTTCGAATTTTTCTGATCTGTGTCGGTTTTCCTGAGGTCGAAATTTGACGAGAATTTATTTAGAGTTTTGCGTATACTATTCGATGCTGATTTTGAATATAATGTTAATTTCATTTGAGATAGAAATTCTGAGGATTAAAATATGTGAATACGAACCTATGCTTATGTTTTTTCATCATCTTATCGGAAAAAATGATTTTTTTCAACAATCAAACAATAGTTTTAAAAAACTATATAGATGATTAAATATTGAGACTTGATGCTTTCGGGTGTATTCCAGTTTTTATAGGCTTTTCTGATATTTTTTTAACCTAAATTTCTCTATAAAGTCATTATTCTCATATTTTAAAAAACAACATTTTCAGAAGAAATTAGACGAGCTTTATTCAAGAACGTTGCTTATTAATACGTTTGATAGTGACTTTTTATGTGTCTTTACTGCCACTTCATGTTTAAAATAATCCCAATTCTGTCTAAATTGAAAAAATGCGTAAACTTTTGAACTTTCAACATCAAAACATATAATTCCTTGATGTAAGAATATTTTTTATTTATATATGAATAAGTTGGTTCGTCGATAAATTCAAGTATTATTAAGTTTTTATTTAACAAAACTTAATGGAACATTTCTAAATTTCCTATATTGAAAAACCTTAGCTTTTTAACAACAGCTTCCTTTTTTTTAAATTAATTTTCATAAAAAAACTAAAAACAATCATAATTTCAACTGATTCAATTGCTTTAGTGCATGGTGCATCCGTTTCTTTGTTTCTATTATTAATTTCCAAAACACAACATGCAAAATAAAAATCATTACACCTATAGTCAGACATCAAAGAGTCACACGTAATGTCACTGTCTCGACATCGATCATATGTTACAGTCAGGTAGTAAAACAAAAAAAAAAGTAATCATTGTTCATCCTCATGAGAAGACCAAAAAAGAATTCTTTGGCTTTTTCTTCTCAATTCTTCTTATCGATATTCAAAATTCTATGCAAACAAGTTGATCATTGTTTGTTTGAAGATGTCATAGATTTATACATCGATCTTATTTACATTTAACAAATATACTTATTGAAAGATAAAACATGCTTCTAGATGAAACAACTCATTCAAGAAGAGGAAGAAGAAGCATAAGTGTGTGATATCACACTTTTTAACAAACTCAATCATGATGAGAAGGGCGGTTTCTTAAACAAACAATAATAGTCAAAGAAAATATTTTTCGTTATTGACATGTCTTTCATGATAATGTTTCCGAAACTGATGTATTCTCTGAAAATCAATGATAAATGATCGATCATTTTGGTTTTACTTGTATAATCTTCTTATCCTACTCATCATCTTAAACACAAGCACTTCATTGATGAATATTGTCTTTCCTTGATCTTTTTCTTTGGCGGAAGACATATGTCGTTAATCATTACTAGTAAATGTAAGAGAAAAAATACGACAGGTAACGACGAAGATAAGTATATCGAGTGTTGATGGATGTTGCAAAGATTCACAAAGAGAATCTATGAAACGTACATATTTATGTGTTCGCTAGAATATACATCCGATTAAATAATTGGAAGTGAACGTTGGCCGGCACTAAAAAAAAAAGAAAAAGAAGAAATTCAAATCGGATGTAAGATGTTGCCGTCGTTGTTAATCAAGTGGAAACACAAGAAGAAGATGCACTTTGAAATTGAGACCATGATGAAAATACTTGCACACCTAATCCGATTGAATTCCTGCCAGCTCAATGAATTAAGAGGTTTACTATTTGAAAGCATACAAAGCAAAGTAAAAAGAAAATGTGGATAAATTCTCAGGGTCAAGTTTTCAAGCGTATACTACTATTATTATTTGAAATTGATGTTGATTCAGGCGCTTCACTTTAGTATGGATCATGACAAAAAAACAACAGAACAGTCGAGTGAAAGGGCGACCGTTTGTATGCATAGTTAGCCTCCGTTTTATGTTATACCGCCTGTCATGATTGGCCTTCTTTCTTTCTTCTAGTAGTGAAAGGCGTGATTGGAACCGCCTGCTCGAGTACATATATATATATACATATACAAAAAAGAATGAACGAATAGTTCGATAGACAAGTGGGAGAATAACAAGACATGTGATGTATATCAGACCTCCTGCTAACTGACAAATCAAACCATTGATCATAATGATTTAACCGACACAGAATAAACTAACTGTGATGATGACCAAGTAAATGAACTTCTCTCATTGATATTAAAACAGCACGCATCATTCTTATTAAATTTAACAAGAAAACTTTCAAAAAAATAAATCTCTTGAGTAAAAAAAAAACAAAAAAGAAAAAAAAAGCCATTTTCATCCAATTTATAGTTCACACCTTTTCATGTGCATGCGTGCATATGTTAGTCAAATCAGTCATTCGACTTTCATAAAAGAATAAAAAAAAAGCAAAAGTGAGATATGACGGTCACTTGTTTCTCTTTTTTTGCACGTTTAAAAAGGTAATGATGATGATAATAGGGTTGACAGAAATGTGCAAGCGGGCAATAAAATTTGACATTGAAGAAGATCGGTCTAATTTTTAAGTGTATGCTTATGTCCGTATTCACAACACATGTGTCAAATGGATTCTTTTGATGATCATTCTAATACCGACAACAATTTCACTTCAAATTTGACATGCAAGTGACACCACCCATCGACGACACGTTTGATTTTTCGATGATGATTATAGACCTGAATGCTACCGACTTTATGACATACTCATATATCCAATGCTGGAACAAAAAAGAAGAAGAAAAAAAAAACAATTGCCAGGGTGTATTTGTATATCGGTACTTTCTTTTAGTGCGCTTAAGCGACTATAACAAATTAGCAGGATGTTCATATCGGAAATCTCTTGAGGAACAAAAGAAAAAGAAATTCATGTTTACTCTTATTATACATATACATATGTCGGCAATGTATGATGAAGAAAAAACAAATCAAATTACTTTTTCGACAAAAAAAAAGTAGACTTGTCGATTCAATTAGTTTGTATATATATATATATAAAGACGATAATCTTCATGATGACTGATTATTTGTATCAACATACTGGACAGATTTAAGAAGAAAAGAAAAAAAATCGGTTTGAGATTAAGTTTTTTCTTCTTTTTCTTTGATCGACATCGCTCATTTGTATCTTTTCTCTTTCTCTCTCTGTCTCTACATCAAACAAAAGCGAAAGTATATCGTTTTTCATTGGTCAATATTCATTTTTATAATTTCCAACAACCAATAGAGACAACACCCTAAGGAATAATGAACATTGATGAGTAAGAAAGAAAAAAACAAGAAGAACGGTATATTCACAGATGAAAGAACGAGAGAAGAGAGAGTGAATGGTATCTCGTTTGTCTTTTACGCATAATGTCCAAGGTGGAATCAATAGATAGATGCACAGTTTGACGAAACAGAGAGAGAGAGAGAGAGAAAGAAAGAAAAAAGAGAGAGAATAAGAGAAAAAAATATCGGTAGAATATTTTACATTCAATTCAATTATAGATAGAGTAGCATGGTCCTTCTGGCTCATCCATTTCTTCTGCATACACATAACTTAATCATGGTATGTAAACGAAATTCTTATTTTATGCATTCATTGAAACATATCAAACTATTTGAAAAAAGGGAATAAAATCATTTCCTTAGGCAACGAGACTATCTTCTGATCTAATGAACGGTCAGTTATAGCTTGAAGCTTTCTTCGATTTGCATACTAATCATTTATAGAGTATGTGTGCACCGCTATTTCATCACATAGTAACATATAAACAGTCTTTGCATTTCCCTTCGTCCAATTAAGTTGATACTAACCGGAACACACCACTCGTCATCTTCAAAAAAAAAAAAGGCAACAGCAGTGGCAGCATCGGCCACTTGCCGACAGATTATCACAGTAGAGAGCGCCGACATCGGATAATGAGCCAAGACAAGAACATACACACGTGCAGTTGTGATTCAAGTTGAATTAGTTGATATATATATATCCAGTCCTCATTGTGTGCCTTTGATCTCTTTCTTCCACTCATGATCCTTTTTTCCGCACATATACATATACATACGTACATATATGATTTTCTTGTTAGGTAAAAACTATTGCATTTGTTTTCTATTTAAGGATTCAATGAATAATTCAATAACTCATTCAAATATAGCTCGACCTATACCTTTAAATCCTCAATCAATAACAGATGTTAAAATTGATAAACAACCAACATCATGGTCATCATTAGATCGCTTACATACAGAAGCAATGATTCGTTATAAAGCATTACAAATTTTACAGGCACAATTTTCTCTTATACCACCACCACCCCTGCCTCCACCAATTCATTCTCATGCTCTTGCTGCAATACTTTCGTCATCCAGTTCTTCATCGAATTCATTAAATTCAAGTTCAAATTCCTCATCATCATTACCATCTATTCCTTTACGTAAAGAATCATCTGATAAATGGTGGAGTGTTAATGAACAGTCATCAAGTTTATTTGGTTCTGTAACACGACGATGTAAACGTTGTCGTTGTCCTAATTGTATTAATCAACCATCAACAATATTAACTGATTCATCAACATCCAAACGTCAACATATATGTCATATATGTAAAAAAATTTATGGTAAAACATCACACTTAAAAGCACATCTACGTTGGCATGCTGGTGAACGTCCATTTCGTTGTACTTGGCTTTTTTGTGGTAAAGCATTTACACGTTCAGATGAATTACAACGTCATTTACGTACACATACTGGTGAAAAACGTTTTGCTTGTCCAAAATGTGGAAAACGTTTTATGCGTTCTGATCATTTATCGAAACATTCAAAAACTCATGAAATATCATCATCAACAATAACAATTGATCATCCACCAATAGAACTTATGGAAACAACTATAGGAACTAGTAGCATCAGTAGTGATGAAATATCATCACATGAAGAAGAAGATGATGATGGAGAAGATGAGATTATTGATGTGCAATATTGACACTTGACTATAAAATTCTCATGAAGTCACAGTGATGTGTATAAAAAAATCTTCTTTTTTTTTTGTTTTACAATGGTCTCGGTGTTTAATGTGTGTGTTTCTTCTTATATTATGATATCTGTTGTATATAAACGATATTGTCAACGTTTCTTTTTATTTATTGACAACAAATATACATATAATAGTTATTCGAGTAATTTTTATGTTTGAAGATAGATAGATTGACGAAAAATTGTATTACAATCAGTTTGAATTTTATTATAGAACTGAGTATTTCTCTCGTCGTTCAATAAAAAGAGATGAGAATTAGAATTCTTACTTTGAGATTTAGTACAATTCTAGAAATAATCAATCCTGGGTGTTATTTCTTTCAGTATAGTTTCTTGTTTTGTAACTAGAAAAGTCAAATTTGTTCTGATCTTCTTATTATTGATTAAGAGCGATAGATTTAAATCTTAGCTGTTCAAAAACTTGAAGAAGAAGCTCATATTTTCTAGGGAAGGGAAGTTACAGTGACGCATCAGTTATAATAACAGTTCAGTAACACAATTGAGTATGATCAAGTTAAAAGAAGATCGAAGGAAAATTGTTTGTTATAAAAAATATATCCTAGAAATCTTGAATAAAAGAAAAAAGTTCGAAGGTGCAGAATGTAAATGTGTCATTGACTTAATAATGTTACATGAAACTGATAATTGACTCAAACAAGTAACATAGGTAAAAAAGAAAAGAATAGCACTTTGAAAGTTATAATCAATTGACACAGATGTGTACTATAATTTAAATATTCTTTGATAGATTCAATCCTTTTCAATAGTTGTTTATTTACAATTTCATAACAATCTTATAATAATTTCAAGATTACTGTGTAATTTTCTATCCATTGTTTCTTTTGGATACACGATTATTATTAGTACTAATTTTGCTGTACTATTATACTAATATATTCGAATCTTGACTAAACATGCTCCGATCTGACTCAAACTTACATCAATACTATGGCACATGGTACTGATTAAGATCTAAGAGTTTGAGGATAAATCATTGCTTACTATCGAAGATATGAGTGTTTTTCAATATACTGATTCATTATAAAAAAGCAACATGCGCTCTTGCTCAAAGATGAAAGTATGAATTCATCTGATATTTCCAGGATACATTTATTTCATAGTGAATATGCGTGTGAAAATGTCAACTTATGTGTCAATACTTATGTTAATATGACTTTGAAGAATGAATTAGCCTACTGTTCACTTTGAAACATACGGTTCTGATGTACTAAACTTAATTTTCGAAAGATGTCGATATCTTGCATGTATATTTCACTGGTCGAAGTAAAATCTTCTTTTGGTTTAAATGTGTCTTTAGCATAGAATCATTGATGGTTGAAAGCAGCAAAAAAAGGTAATTGTGTACTGATGTAGTTAGAGAGATGATGATATGCAAAGTGAAAGGAACAGAGTCTAGAGAAGCCCATGGTTGCATTCTATATATAATTTTTATATATCTAATCACGATGAATAATTTCTATTACTATTACAAATATCATGTAAATAGTTGTTCCTCATGTTCACTCACTCGGTGCAGTTATTGTGACTAATTATATAGCTATTATGTATTGTACATTTTTCAACAACTATCACTTTCACTGATTAAATGATTCACTTCATTTTTTTTGTTTCTGTTGATTCTGTTCTAATCTATAAACATGTTACTGAAAAAAGATCGCATGATGAAAAGCAAGCGATTTCATTTTTCAAATTCTTATTAACTAAAGTATTGATAAATAAGCTAATATTTTCAGATGGATGCTCGCTATGAAATGAATTTGTCCTGGAAATATTAGATGAATTCATACTTGCATCTTTGAACAAGAGCACATGCTGCTTTCTAATAATCATTCAGTATGTTAAAAAAAACTCATATCTTTAATAATAAACAACGATTTATCTTTAAACTATGAGATCTTAATCATTACCATGTGCCATAGTATTGATATAAATTTGAGTCAGGTCGAAGCATGTTTAGTCAAAATTCAAATATGTTATTTCAGTAGTACAGCAAAAATTGTAACAGTAATAATCGTGTATCTCTTTTCAGGAGACGTGGAAAACAAAAACCCTTGTCGATTATTAAATAACTCACTGAGGTCTATCTTTTGAAGCATATATTCAATCCAAAAACAATTTGATAGCTGGGAATGTTCTCCTGTAAGTGACGTAGGCCATCTGTTAATGAAAACAATTGCCGACATATCATGTCTGACATTCGATACTAATGGTTTTAGTGTTATCGTTCACTTGTTCACATTGTTCTCTAAAGATCTTAAGAGTTTTATAATAGTTTCGAACTATCTCTTACGCTACTTATTATTTCTATATTGAACTTAATCGCTGTTGATCTGTTTCATGGCAAAGCTAATGATGGCATATAATTGATTTGGTTTGGACGGTAAACAAGAGTGGTAATCGTTACTCAGAGTTGTTACTGTTGTTTTCGCTGATGCTGTAATAATGCATCGAGACAATTTGTATTTTTTAATTCTGTTGAGAAGATCGTGTCGATGAAAATTTAAATTCAACCTCCTGTTGAAACCAAGTAAAAACATAGAGCGTCTTCTTTCATTAATAGAACTGTTTTTCTTTTAACTTGTTAAGGATCAGTCTCACAAGCAAAACAAATAGATTATTTGGATAGATGGGCTGATCAAAATTTTTGACGACCGATATTAGTAATGCTCTGACTTGATCAAACTGATGATCCTGGGGATGTGGATGTAGACGTAGGTTAGAGCCTGTTAGATGCACACTTTTTGTATCCGGATACGGTTTATTGAAGGTCTTTCACACCCTATACCGACACGGAGCCAATTCATTAACTTAGTTTAGAGTGGAGTTCGATCCGAGCCCGTTCGATTAAACGTTTTTGAACCCGACCCAAGTTCGGACTCTAACCGTACTCATAATATTCTCAATAGAAGTTTTTTAATGCATCTTTATAGTCATTACGAAGATATATCATACTTTTTTGCTTATGTAGATACAGCAAGCAGCACGCCTCACATATTTCTCAGACCATCTTGGAGGCTATCGTAAAAGAGTGTAGACATAACTGCCAATTAGTTTTAGAGTAGCAACTGTTAGGGCAGACGTGAAAGCGGATGAACACCGGACCTAGTAAAGAGAGAATTTTTAGACCTGAGCCTTTCCAGGATCCGAGCGAGTATGGGTAGAATTCGGTGTAGCTCAGGAGGAGCCATCCAAATCCACATCTACACCTCATGTAAGTGTTGGTATGGTAGTGTCACGTGTGTAAATCTTGGTGAACCCTATATTTACCATTTGGAAGTCAAAAACAGTAATTCCGAACTTTTTAGATTTTGTACATCGCTAGTCGTTTTCCTACAATCTGCATTTCGCTCATGTTTTGAAAACAAAAATAAGTACCCTTCATAGAGAAAGAGTTTTCGAGAACATATCCTTGTGAAAGCTGTTAGTAAAATGCCATTTGGATTAAAATATGAAACACGATGAAGCTGCTTGTATTATAGATGAGGACATTGATACACATGCTTCAGCTTGTGAAGTGCTACCTACTGTTAAGATAAGTCGGTAATGAAAGACATTAATCGTGATATGGGACAGTGTGTAAGAGAGATGCATCTGAAACTCAGTTGTATTTCATTCCAATCCTGTATTATGCCTCGATTTCGCAGATAAATATGTTATGGTGCATAATGAGTGAGCAGTAACTTTTAAGCATTTATCAAGGTTTGTGATAGTACGTTAGTCACGTGTGTCAGAGTCTGTGGAGGAAGAAGAGTCCAACTTGCCCCTTTAAACTTCAACATTCTTTACAGATCATGTTTCACAAAATGCAATGTGAAAGACACCTTTCTTTGTTCAAGTTTTAACTTTCAAAGAGAGATCGCTTAAACAATTGGTCGCAAGTGAGTTGTCAAAGCGAAAGATGTCATGCCTGCAATTTCCAGAGAATTGAAAATTGCTCTTAGTGAAAATCTTATGTTTCAATAAAAAAGTGCTACTCTCTCAGAACAGTCGGACTATATATATTTCTGGACGCATATCATCGAATGGGCTTAGTGAAACCTGAATTTGAAATTCCGATGTATCATATATACTGAATAGAATGCTCGATTTTCTTGTCCATCTTCTCTTAAACTACTCCGAGACTTATTTTTATCGTATAGTAGACGAAATTATTTGCTTTCTATTAACAACAGTCCACTTTTTTGACTACGAATATAATCGAAAATTTACATATGTAGAACTTCTGTAATACTAGCTTTCAGATTAAACTCACCAGACTCTGTTCGGTCAAGTCAACGAAATCAGCCAAGGTTATTTTACAGTCTGTTAGTTTGTTGGCCAACTTTTTTACCTCTTCTTGGGTGATATCTTCTTTTCTCACAGAAACAATCAATGAATGATCTATAGCCACATTCATTGATTGTTTCTGTGAGAAAAGAAGCAAGTGCACAACCAGTGTTCACTCAGTCGTGCATGTTGTTGCAAGGTAAATAACGACAAAACTCTTCGACAATGAATGTTTTACTTGCGACTGATATCGTTTGCGATTGATTTACTTTCTTCAGTGTCGTATGTGTACAAAGAATAGCATCATTAAATATTTTTTTTTGCAAAGAAATTCCGAGCAGTCGGTGAAATGAACAGAGAGCTCCCAACTAGTCTGTGTTAAAGTATAAGAATTCACCAATTTGTGATAGCCAGTAGCTTGGCATTTTTTTCTCACGATGAGCTGATACGTTCTCTGTTCGAAAGACAGAGGCATTGAATTTTTCTGAGACTAAGATAATGGACAGCATACCTATGGGCTTGATATAAAACGGTTATGATTGGTTGTGCCCAGAACCATTTTTTTAGATGAGATATCCTGTTTAGAAAGGTAATGTGTATTGGCTCAGCTTCTTTACGGATAGTGATAAAATAAGAACAGAGAGCTTGAGGAATGATGAATTT